CGGCGTGACGGTGGAGGTGCGCACGACGCGCCCGCCGCGGCTCACGATACCGACAGGCGCTTCCTCTCGCTCGCGCTGCCCATCCAGTTCGTACGCACCGGTAAACACCAGCTGCTCAGGTACGTGTGACAGGGTCTACCTCGTCCCCACTTCTTTGAGCACCACCCCCGAGTACCCCTATTGAGGTTTCCGTGTTTCTAGGAAATTGGAAATTCAGTTCCGGGAAATATCAGCTGTTCAGGTGCATGTGACAGGATCTATCCTTTTGTTTCCTGCTTTTGTGTTAGCCTCTACCAGGCTTTGGTATCGGAGGCGACTGGAAAGAGTAGAAATTGGCCAAATAGAGAGACAACATGCCGAGGGAGTTGGTCCACCAGAGAGTACATATTAGCTGCGGCAAAATGTACTCTCTAGCGGACCAAATCCCTTGGCATGTTATCTCTCTATTTGGCCAATTGTTATTCTTTCCCTCCGCCTTCCAAAGCCTGGTAGAGACTACTTTTGTGTCAGTCCGAATGGTTTCTTCTTTGAGCACCACCCCTGGAGTACCCCTGGTGAGGTTTTCGTGTCTATAGGAAATTGGCAATTCATTTCTCCTATCGAGGCAGGGTTTACAGTGATCCATGTATAAGGATATAATGACTTAATGTAATAATGTAATGATATAACGACACGACGACAGAGCAGCATATGGTAATCATATAATAACACTAGTAGTGAGATGAAAACAACTATATAGTTACAATGTACCAATATAGAAGAAATTAAATGAATACTCAGCAAAGCATGGGGTCATGTTTTACCCAATATGGTTACCAGTTTGGCTGCTACTAGGGCGGGTGCTGGGTGGGCTGACTTGTAGCCTTACGTTCATAGCAGAAACAAACGCACCACAGCGCACGCACGGACGGAGGAACACACACACACGCACACACATACACGCACACACACACCTACACACAAACACACACACACACACACACACACACACACACACACACACACACACGCGCGCGCGCGCGCATGCACGCACGCACACACACACACACACACACACACACGCATGCACGCACGCACACACACACGCGCGCAAGCACACGCACACATGCACGCACACACATACACACACACACACACACGCGCGCGCGCGCGCGCGCACGCACAAACACACGCACACACAAACGCTCGCACACACACACGCACACACACATACATACATACATATTTACCGGCACATACGCCCATCTAACCTAACACACACGGTTCATCAAACACACCCCGCAACCAATGGCTCTTGTGGCCTTGGCGCTGTCCTTGGTACAACTGTTGTTGACCTTGTGGTATCACCAACAGCACGCCATGGCCATGGGGAGGCCAATTCATTGCATCATTTCGTTACGGCCGCTAACACCAGTAAACAGTACTAGTCCTCCACGCCATTTTCTCAATTCTTCTTAATTGGACGTATCTTCATTTATATTCTTGTCTTGTTCTGCATCGTTAGGGACCGCACCGGCAACAAAACGGCAGCCTTGAGGCTTTAAGTCCAGCGTTTTATTTCAATCTCCGCAAGGCGCTGTTTCCAGTAAGTTGAATATCTCACGATAAACGCGCGGTCTCGTTTGTCGTGAGATTCCTATCGCTGCCGGATTTTCAGCCAGGCCACGATGGAACCGACCGCAGAGAGGGATCAACGGCAACCTTCTTCAACACAAACAAATCAGCGGAGTTTTGTGCAAAACACCCACGAATGTCCCCCAAATTTTCTGTCCGTAAACCTCCCAAACGGCAGATGTGACGGGGGCCTTCCTGATCATTTTGGAAGTGCATGCTAGGCTGACGTTGTTGGAAGCACAGAAAGAAAGATATGGGATTTAGAATTGTTCTTCTTGTCTTTCACACACCTCTCTCTGCCAAATCTCCAAGTAAACGTTGGAAGAGAGACTCTAAAGTTTCCTTGCTGCCCTTGTTCATAGTGTTAACACGTGATGAATATTCGAAGTGTTAGAGAGGGTGACAATCAGAAAACATCACCATTTCCCATCCCAATATCTGCTTGGAGATTACCTCCACCCGTCCTGGCCTCCCTGCATCCATCTTTCCCCGGTCATTATTCACAGCCAGCCGCCAAACGGCTTACCATAGAGACGTGTCCATAATCGCCAGTGATTGCCGCCTAATTGCCGTACATTTGGTTGGAGGTGCCTGCCAATATGCCGCGCATATCTGATGAGTTAGATCCAAAATTATTCTTCGAAAGCATTTCGTAAAATCCTCCGGTGATACACATTCTGACTCGTGTTTGTAATCGTTATGCAAAGTCCGTCATAAAAATCGTGTTTTGTAAAATCTTGCAAATGTCCAGACGGATTAATTCAGGTAAAGTCCACCTGTGTCTGGGAATAGAAAAAAAAACACCTGATGATAAATGTGAGCGCACTCCGACAAAGCTCTTTATTTTACGGTTGTTCGACCTCCGTGGGCGCGAAGCGACCTTTAGAAGGTCAATGTTAGAACGCCGTACCGTGAAACTGTTTGATATTCAAACTTGTACTTGCTCGACGTGTGATGAGTCTTTTTTTATCATAATCATACTTGATACACTCGATACTTTGAATTTTGCTCGGTAATTCCTTACATTTTTCTTGTTTAGAACCATTCTTTGAGATTCTCACAGCCTTCAGGCCACTCTTCATTGAGGTCACGAGGGAAGAGTCAGACAAAACATATAAAAAAGATACAGTTTAGCTCATTTAAAGTGTTAATAAATCGAGATATCAAAATTATTCATCCGCCAGTGGGAGTAGTTCGAGCATGGAGCTTTTATCTCAAATAAGAGCTCCATGGTTCGAGCTTTCTTTTTGGTAGTAACAGCGGTGCTG